CCTATGGCACCTTCTCTGCTTACCGCTTGAGAAGAATTCAATTCGCTGGCAGCAGAATCGGCTTGATAGTATCGAATCCAATACCGAAGAATCTCTTTATTGCCATCGTGTGCTGGTGGTAACCATGAGAACGAGACGCTTGTTGCTGTTGTCTGGGAACTGTTTTGAACAAATGTCACCGGATCGGGAATAGCTGAAGAATAGAAAAGGTGACATTATAGTGAAGAAAAAAATGTAAACGTGCCAGCCATCAAACACAACTTAAGAGAGTTGTAGCCCAGTCCGCAAAAATGAAGCACGCAGAATTTGAGCCAATAGAGGATTGTGACCATTGTGACCAAGATTGTCAATTCCTACCACCCATTTATTTGCAACTCTTCTTGGATTTTAATTTCTTTTTTCCCAACTTCCATTTGCCTTATAGACCGTATGACCTTTCATACTAACTTACCTCGTCTACAATGATGTTGCATAAGTAAAACTCACACAGAAAATGCTTTTTATACAGTCTGAAGCAATCGAAGGATGATACCACAGATTTAGAATAGTTTGGCATAACGCACTGCTGATAGATGATATAGGTCCTATCCCGACTATTAATTGTTGAAGTTTTATTGGACGCAGAACGGATGGCTCAACTTCGATTACCCTGATCCAGCCTGTATATCGAAATCATTAACTATAATAACGATTCTTTGCCCGCTATCTCCAACTTTCAGCATTCCCCTCTTTCCTTACCATCTGCTCTCCACGGAATCCTTGGTCTTCCGAGTTTGGTCGGTCAAATGTCAATCCTTGGGAAGGGGAGATCACTAAATTTGTAAGTAGTTATCGACTAAATTAGATCGACTAAAACAACTTAGCGACATTTTTATTTGAATTGATTTGAATGGCTCATGAATACACAAATGGTGGCCATCTTATAAATGACGAGATTCAATTTGAAAAACTTACTTCTGAAATGTTGAATTACCCAATTGGTAAGGTGCAAACGAATGCAAATCACCAATTATGTAAGCGACGCTCACCAATCAAATTAGCTCCAACTGTTCAAGTTCAAGTCCACGTACGAGCGCTCAAGATTCTTACGCTAGGGTCTTAAGAATCACGAACTACAAATGGCAACTGAAATCCTAAGCTATTCGCGATGATGTCTTCACAGCACAGCTTTCTCATCAATCATTCATTTAATCTATTCTAAATCTACCAACATTGACCTATTTGAAGAACTGAACTACCAACATTCCCGTAGTTTAATCAGTAGCTACAGTAACAATACCTTAGCCATCTCTCTTTTGCTGTATTTAGAGGACTTTTAAAGCTGAAGTGTAAGAAGTGTTGAATTAGATGCTGAAGTGTAGAAACTTACAGATGACGGTCAATCGAACAATCTGCCGAACATCAGCTCTATTACCCTCTTTGTCACGGTTGTAGAAGTTTGATGCATTGCACATGTATTCAGCCAAGTGCACATCCTTAAGGGAGTCAAATTGTAACTGACGCTCAATCCCTCGGCCACTTTGTTTCAAAGAGGAAACCTGCAATAGCAACATTGAATAGCACTCACAAGATTAAAGTAGAGCTATTATTTATTTGCAAAGACTGCGCATACTTAGGTACCTCCTCATAGATTTCTCTAAGAGGGAACCAAAATAGTACCCCTTTCTCAGCTCAATGAAAAAAGTCAGAATTTTAGAACGTTGGGTCTTGTGGCAGCGTAATCAACCCTTTTATGGAATAGCTGATGATCCGAAATTCTAACCTATTTCATTGCCACTCATGAATGAGATAAGGAAACAGACCCTAATATAACCCAAAATACGTACTCGTTTCCTCACCTGTCTAAAAATTACCCCACTGTCAAACTTTCCGGCGGCACTTTTCTGACAAGCCAAAGTATCACTTTCCGGATAGGCAGAAGACGCTATTGCCAGGGCAGCATTATCTGCTTCGCCATAACTCGCTGGAAGAACACACGTCTGATTGATTAATCTCCATGGTGCATCAATTCCGTCGCCAACACTTATTGGCCGATGATACCAGTTGGCTTGTAGTTCATTCGCATCTCCTTGTACTACGCAGGTTAGATTGAACTTGGACCCCCTAACAGCATCGACGTCTTTGAGCGGTTCAATTCGAGCAGGAACTGAACGAAGAATAAGAGGAGATTAGGCTTATGATATCCAACGCCTTAAATAATTATTAAGTGGCATACCATGAATTTCTAGGTTGACCGCAACAGAGATTGGTACAGCCGTAGTAGATTCTTTCGGGGTAAGAAAACATAGAAATTTCCTCGGATCAGACTCTTCAACTTGAGATATAACGAGAGTTCCGTTGGATTCCTGGTAAATACGCCCGTCTGTTCGTTCTGTCAAACTGTCGAGCTCCTTAAAATCACCGGTACTTTCGTCCGAGTACTTCCAAACAATCATTGGGTCCAGCTCTGATGGTCGAGCTGTACAATTGATGGAAATATTTTGTGCCAGAGTCACGTCTTGTTTATTTGGTGGACGAATCTCGAATTCAAGTTCAGCTGGAAAGATAGAGAAAATTATAATCAAAGCCATGGCCTTCATGTCTTGAAAATAGGAAAAGAAGCGGTTGAGCCAAGACGACGGCTTCAAAATAATGAATCCTCTTCATTAGTAAATTCTTCCTATTGACAGTTTCTTTAACGGAGAGGTTTCGACGCATGTCCAGGCATTCAAGTAAATTCAGAGAGTCGTTACAGTCCTCTATATTAAATTAGCATCAAAACCGGGGTGTGCAATAGACTTACCTCCACGTGGTGCACCCTGGGCAACGTATACTCCTACGGCAAAAAAGTCTATTAACCGGTAGTTGACTTCTGACTTCAAACTACCCCCACTGTATGCCATATTCAGCCCATTTGGGAGTACTCATCTTACCTTTTCTCTGCTCTTTTGTCTGTCTCTGTCACATCTGTGAATCATTATTCTGTCCCCCCTCTCGACATTTTGTCACTTTGATGTTCCTCCTCCTCTCTGTGAAGCCTGAAGTCAGCTAAATGGCTAATGATAACTATCAAAACGCCTGCCATTTGAAATAAATAAATTAGCATCAAAACCTCCTTCTCTTCACAGTACCTATCCTCTATTCCTCTCATTTTTAATACGTGTGTCCAACTCAAATATTAATCTCATTTCGGGAAAGACCCCAAGAAAGGTAGGTAGTTTTGTAAACCAACTTCAGCATCGAAATTAGGGCTTCTTCACTAACAACCACTCCATCTATTAGACCTAATTTACTACTTTAGACAGTTAATAAGTTATTTAGTCTTAAAAAACCCTCTTCGTTTCCGCCTTAGTCTAAGTTTCGTTGTCGTCGGAAATGATCAATGGCGGAACTGCGAAGCCTGCCAGGTTGTCTGCTATTTTCTCGCTTTCTAATCAACCTACTTGTGTTCTCTCCCTCCCTAAGCCCTTTATGAGGGGGTGGGGGGTGGGGATAAGGGTAAAAACTATGCATCTAGATGCTTGTCTATTGGTTCTGAACTATTTTGCAGTGAATCAATTGATCCTTATCAACCAGTTCCCCACCTAAGCCTGCAGAGGTTAAGTAACCACAACTTGATCAGGTTGCATAAAATACAAAAAAGCTCGATAGCATTCGCTTGTCGAAACAGTGCATCAGCAGCGCTGGTCGAATAATGAATGGGTCTGCCAAAATGTGTTTATCTTCAAGCGTGATGTAGAAAAACCTACCAATGGGCCTACGCATGACGTCACGGCAATCGCACTGCCATGTTCAATAACCAGCGATATCTCACCTTCAGCCTCAAGTATGAATGCAGACGAAAACTCAACCCTCACCTAAATAATAATCCATCTCACACACTACCCTAGGGGCAGAACTGTCTGCCATCATTTTAACTCTATGTTTAATGTCTACGTTGTTTTCTCCTATATTGCATGCTCGTAGAGTAGTCATATCTCACCTCTCTAAGTACCTCTCAAGAGAATATTTTGAACAGGCGGAAAACTTACGAATGAAAGTGACTCGGATTGGTCGCTCATCATAGCCAACTTCATTGACAATCTTGCAGGTAAGGATACCTTGATGCTGGCGTTTATTCAACTGCTCTATTTGCACATGCACCACGGAGTTTGGTCTGGCGTGCACGAAAGGGGGCAACTGGCGTCGCAGAGACTCGGACATTGGTAGCCTTTCGCTTTGATGCAAAACGGCTGCGTACTATAATGATACAGCAGTGAGACAGATGGAATCATTAAAACAAAAGGTTATGGGGGCTTTGTTTGAACCCTATTGATTCCAAATACGCCCCATTCCCTTTTACGTCCTTAGGACTGTAAGGTCCCCTTTTAAAATAAGCTCCATTGGTGCCATGCAACCTCATCACGCTGGCGGCACCAGTCTGCTGTGAGGCACGCGTGAGTGCGGTTGGGTGCATTTTGCAGAAAATAATTCGGATATTAAAGGCTTAACGCATACATATAATCAATGTTGCGATAATTTGGTGAACTTGAGCAAAAGGATCAGCACCTTAACCAGAAAAGAGTTTAACTAAGTCCCTTTGCTAGGTGACATTCACTTGTTCGTGGTTGAAAGGCACCCATGAGCCAAAGGAAATGACCAAGCATTCAAATAAAAAATTGAGTAGTCGCACCAAGATCTGGATATAGTGAACGTGAATAAATCGAGAAATTTAAGGATAAAATCGGTTGAGATTAGGATTACTATGGCAACACAAACTGAATTGTAATTGTTTACTTACACCCTTTATAAATATGCCATTAACTTTCAAATGAAGACCCTTGATATTCCGACGTTCTAATGCAGACACACCTAAAATGCTACCTAATGAACAAAGCGGGGCAAACAATTTTTTATCGAAACCGAAATAAGTGAAATTTTTAGGTGGAAGTGGCATTTATTAAACTTTCGAAGTAGAGGGCTTAACACTAATCGGAGGATAAGCCTTCCGCATCTGTATATATTCAACAAATGGGCTTGTGAAATCCAATGGGCTCCACTTTGTATAAACAGATAAATATTGGTAGAAATGGCATATTGAATTTATTAGTAGATTTTATTTGCTAACTCTTTTTATGCAAAAAGTCTACGAAAACAAAGCTCAAAGCTACGGTTTGCCCCTGGACCATCAATTTGGACAGAGTTGTCTCTAAGTCGACCATCATCCTTGTTGCTATGCGGGGGGGGGGGGGTACACCGCACAAGACAGAGGGTAGTCTACTCCGGCCATAAACGGGTCAGCAGTAAAATCGATGATTTGATTTCAAGCAAGTAAAATAGAACGAGGGCAGCGCATCTAGTACTCTAAATATAGCATTATTAAACGTCTGCACCTCTACCAAGTGTCTACTTTCTAGGACTCGGTCAAATAAAGCCAAGCGACATTTAATAAGAGAACACTAGACTTTCTGCCATTATCCCCGTGTAGAATAGTATTACTTCTCAAAGGCCACACAGACGTCAATCAAATGCTATATGAAACTTTGGCATATTCGGCATAACTACTCAGACAACAAGAAGAGAAACGAAGACGACTAGTAGCTCAAACCAAATGATGGCAAAGATGGATTATTTACCAATGGTTTTGTATAACTTGTTGCTATCGTGGAAAAAATTCCACAATCAATTTTGCACGAGGGGTGAACTCGGGAGAGCCTACCGAATACACTACTAGTGCGTTCGAATGCTTGGGCTTCTTAACAAATCAACCACAATAATAAACATCTCAAGAGATTAGCACTGAGTAGCAAAGTAAAATCCTGAATCTTCCAAATGCTTATGGGAAGAAATCGGATTAAAAATTAGAGTCTTCTTCATAAGATACTAATTTGACTTTGGGAGTAGGCAATAAAAAGGCAGAAACTCACAGAAACTTTGAAGGCTCCGGGATTCGGCCGAACATCTGGAGGTAGGTCGATGGCCTGATCTGAATCTTCGGGTTGAAATCGCCACCATGCATACCAGGGTTTGTCGGCGTGGTTCTGAGTAGCACAACTGTAGGTCAAGCTCTGGCCCCCACCCTGGACACGTTGAACTTCCGGAAGATCTTGAATCCTTGGTGCGCCTTCAAGTATAAATGAGAGAATGCAAATTAGATTCACCTGCCCGATGTAGTAGCTTTAAATTTGGAGAAACGCAAAGAGCTTGAACTTCCATACCACTTCCACTTAAGCTTACATACCCTAATAATAAAGCCAGGAAGGTGTTCACAAATACACACACCTAAAAAGTTTGCTGTTCTCACACTGACTCAAAGGTTTGTTCAGTAACTCGGTGTACGCGCGCGCATATACGAAACTGCAGCTTTGTGCCTTCGTTGTTAGTGGTTTTAATTGGATGCTCATAGACAAACAACAGACGCGCACAACCACAATTCCCTCTTCGTACCTACATTTGCCCTATCTAGCACGATCCAGAGTTCCTCCTTCACTCAGTGGTGACGCCTTTCCCCTCTCATCGACATGGTCTTCTCACAACTATATCCTATTAGCCATAAAAAGAACAGTAGTTTCGTTGGGAAGTATTTAAGCTTAATTTGGTCTGACGCCTAAAATAGTCCTACTGTCGAGACTAGAGGCGGTACTTGAAGATAAAGAAACCGCACTGTTGAAATAGTTATGAAATATTTGATGAGAAATGGATGTGAATGCTTACAGAGCGGTAAGAGGAGCTTTGAAATGGGCACAGAATATGTCCATTAAAACAAAATTTCATCCTCAGATAACAATCTCGTTAACTAATTTACAAGTATCTATGAGCAATCAAGCACGATCGTAGATCGGTAACCTTAGCAGAGCAAGTGCGAAGGCAAACACGTAAGCAAGGGGCATGGCCCTATTGCGGAAAAAAAGGCAATCACAACTTGGGTAGGGCAAAAAAATGTTGATTTCAGAACCAAGACCTCAAAATTTCACAATTCGCTTTCTTTAATTCAGTTGTGGGGTGTACGAGCAACGTATACTCATATGGTGAAAAAGTCTATAAACAGGCAATTAACTTCTGACTTCAAACTACCATGACCCCACTGTGTGTCATATTCGGCCACTTTCACAGTAATCACCTCACCTTTTTTCTACCTTTGTATTTGTTTGTCTCTTTTACATCTATGAATCAGTCTTCTGTTCCCCCCCCCCTTCCATTTTTTTCGCACTTTGATGTTTCTCCTCTCTGTGTGAAGCCCGAAGTTAACTAAAGAGCTAATTGATAGTCTTCAAAACGCCTGCCATTTGATATGAATAAATACTTCAGTTGCTACTAAACCAAAAGCTGTACAGACCCTATTCATAAATGGTATAACCCTTGAATTCAACAGATTTAATGGCCTATTACAAACGGTGCAGCAGTAATGATTATGACAATTTATTGATACAAATCAGCTCCCCTTAATTGACCTCTAAAGAGTTGCTCTTCACTATAAAAGATTGTAATAAATTGGAGTGGGAGTCAAACGATGAGATTAAACATTACGTCCACGACTCTCATGATTAAAATTTATAAATAGTTGTATGCTATGTTGTGGGAAATAATGAAAACAGAGAAGCAACGCACGTGAAACTTTGAGTGTGATGGTAATGTTATCCGTCATGTCACCGAGCATAGCCGTACAACGGTAATCTGCTTCGTCCTCTTCTTTATTAACCTCCTTAATTCGAAGAACTCGAGCATTCTCCAGGAGAACATGTCGATGATCCACAGGAATTCGCTCGATTCTCTGATCATTCTTAATTCGATGCCATTGAAGCTATAGGGAGATTGGATAAGATTTTGAACTAAAATATCCCTATTTATAATTTGATCTGCAAATAGAGCTTACTTTTGGTATACCACTTCCAATAAAGTAGCACTTGAGATCATGATATCGACCAGCAATAGCCGGCTTACTCGAATCGACTGGTCGAAGACGTAGGGGTGTATCAAGTAGGAGAAAGGTTCGACAATCAGCAGAACCCAGGGAGGTGTTGGCAACACCCCGATACTCCCCTCCATACTGCCATAATTCATCCCAAGGTGGAACGTGGTTTAAGTTGATCTTGAGTCGAGTTATGAGGGAGTAAGGTCGTTGAGGATCTTTCACAACCTCTGTAACGACCACTCCCTTATCATCGACTATTTCACCGTCGTGATTCAATGGAAGGTCATCTCGAAACCACCGAATGGTTGGAAGTGGATTTGCCGCGAAACGGCATTCGATTGTTGCATTCAACTCGCCTCTAGCCTTTGAGAGAAGAATCTGGGACGTGGATGTTGTGCTTGTAAAGGATTCCGACGGAGTTGGTGATTGGAAAGTCCGCATTGGCTTCATTTCTACAAGAAAATGACTTTGCTTTAGTGAATAAATAGCAATTGTTTAAAATGCCTAATTTCCAAAAATATTGACCGATTAGGTTTTCTGGAATTATTCGCGATTTATTGTTTTGGGGCATAGGTTAATATGCTGTCTTAGATATCTTGACACGTATAACTACCGCTATCAAATGGCAAGATTTTTGCATCCTTTGTACATCGTAGCACGTCTTTCGAAACTCTTGTAGAGACCCAAGAGGTCCTCGACGGGAATTCAACCTTTTCTTCATCTCTTCAATGTGATTATCGTTAGCTTCACCTTCACAGTTAGACATCGTGTCCTTAACACTATTTCAACTGGCTTGGGGTGTGCGATAGACTTATCTCCAAGTGGTGCACCTGGCCAACGTATACTCATACGGCAAAAAAGTCTATTATTCGGCAGACGACTTCTGACTTCAAACTACCATGACATCACTGTATGTCATAGTCGACCACTTCTACTGTATTCATCTTACCCTACTCTCTATCATCGTGCCTGCCTCTTTTACATCTGCAATTCACTCTTTGGTCCACCCTCTTGAACTTTGATGTTTCTCCCCTCTGTGAAGTTCGAAGTCAGCTCATGGCTAATGATAACTATCAAAATGCCTGCCATTCGAAATAAATAAATTTCAACTGACTCCACCCGCCCTTTAAGTGTGCAGACTCGGAAATGATATTAACTTCCTTCAGCCAACACCTCCCTGCCTTCTGCTTTGTAGCCCTCTCTCTCTTTCCACTCCTCTTTAATAATTCATCATTACTGAAAGCCTTCGCTTACTCCTTAATCGGTGAGGCTTTATACATTTGGTTATCCATGGGGTGTGCGGTAGACTTACCTCCACGTGGTAAAAAAAGTCTATTAATCGGCAGTTGACTTCTCACTTCAAACTACCATCACCCCACTGTATATCATGTTCGACCACATCCACAGTACTCATCTTACCTTTTGTCTTCCTTTGTGACTATCAGTCTCCTTTACATCTGTGAATCACTCTTCTGTCCCNCCCCCCCCCCCCCCCTCTCTTGAATTTTTCTCATTGATGTCCCTCCCCTCTGTGAAGTCCGAAGTCAGCTAAAGAGCAAATGACAACTATCAGAACACCTGCTATTTGAAATAAATAAATATATATATATATTTGGTTACCCTAGTACTAAGTCCTCAACAATATCATGTTTACCAAACGCTGCAAATTGTATCAGACGGATGTGAAAGAAATCAAATAAAGATGCTCCAGCCAAGCTACGCGTATACAATTCGACCATTGCGTAGATTGAAAGAGATGCTGGAAATGGACAATTGATCTCAATCTATTAACGGTTATTAGTTGGCATATTTGACGCAAAGAAAAGGGTACAGTGCCTTTCTTAAGTGTACCAACTAATCTCCCTTGTTCTAGGCGTTTGGCGCACTGAGTGTGATCATTTAGTTTGAGGATTCAGCCATTCCAGAATTTCTGGTTAGCATCGCTTGTGCTGTAAGCAGCCGAATCAGTGGTGGGAAGTGCTAATCGTGGACTGTGGCACAAACATCTGCATGTTGATTGCGTGGAGGAAGGTGAAGACGATGCGAATTGACCCCCAAAGTATTAGCCGGTCAACTCCTCTTCCTTTTAATATAGAAATCGGATTTCCCAAATTATGTGAAGCACCCAGTAGTAATCTAATAACAAATGACCTCTGATCGACCATCAATTAATTGTCTATCAAAAAGAAGTCTTAAAAATCATTAAAAAATTCTTTTTACTTTATCCATCCTAAATCTTCAGCAATTTCATTTTTTTAAGAGGTGTTATAGTGACATCAAATGACGCATTTGTATGCCACAATACAATTTGACAAATGAATTACTAGAAACAATTAGGTAAAATGAACATTTAGCTTACTGCCCATAACAAGATGCGCAGTGCCTTGAGCATTGTCTACCAAATCACCAATGGAAACCATTCCAGTGCCCATTTTTTCGGCCACTTTAGAAGCAATCGGTGTGGAAGCGGAGGGCGAAGAAGATGGAGTAAAGGCAGCAATGGACGGTCGTGAAGACTTAGCTGTTGGGTCATCTGCAAGTGAACTTTCAGCGACACACTGATAGACTCCGGCATCCTCTAAGCTGAAGGAGTTTATAATGAGACGTTCACGCACACTCTGAACACCGGAAGATTCACGACGTTGAATACTATAGTGGCTGGCAGATAGAGATGTGGAAGATCCTGAAGATCCCAGGGGGTTGGCTGTAATCTTCAAACGTTCGGCATTGTGAAGCCAGTAAATAACTTGATGAGGATAACCAGAAACGAGGCATTCTAACTCAACACGAGTTCCATAATCGCAAACCCTTTTGTGAGGTGTAACTCGCACTTCAATTGGGGCTAAAGGAAAAAAACGGACCATCTCAGATAGCTTCAAAACCACCCATCTAAATGGTTTCATGAGTAGATTTAAACTCTGGATATAAACACTACCAATGTGTTTTTCTGGTGATGTTGAGATTTCATATGCATATACGCATATAATTCTTTGTCAATTAACAAAAGTGCGACTTAAAGACTCAAAGATTATTAGAAAGAAAACTATTTTATCTAAAATAAGTACCGTTAACATCGTAACACGCATTTTCATTCATGTTTACTTCTTGCATTTGAGAAAATTGAAATTTAGTTTCTAAGTAAAATGTAATAAAGCATAGTCGTAGAAGGGCGTATTTGCAGTAACTTAACCGATTAAAACCAGCATACCACATGAATATCGAGTTTCTGTAACTTTGGCATTGAATAATTTGCTGTAAACGACAGCCTCTCGTTTTGGTGATCTTAATTTCTTACAGTGTGATAACTAAAACTGTCCTAACGTTTAAATGCCCAAGAACACGCCCTAATGATATAATTAGACATTATAATTGAGTAGTGAACAAGATGGTTGATACTTGCAAAAGTAACAGCCCTGAAAGTGTTACGACAATATCAGCTGTATGACCCCTACCATCAGACAAAAATGAACTGTACTGAACTGAAATACGGGGTTAAGAAGACGTGATTGAAGTAAAACCTTCGGTCATCTTACCCAGACGCATTAAGAAACCCAAGAAAAGTAATAAGAGACCCCCCCCCCCCCCCCCCCGCCGCCAACATATATGCATGTATATATTTATTTTACCTCTGACTTTGAGCGTATAGACCACAGGAGGAAGTCGGGATGGATAATACGCCTCACAGGAGTACTGTCCAGCATCATCAATTGAGACATTAATGAGGCGGAGATTTCCAAATATCCCCTGGACAAGCTCGACTCGGGAACCCCATGGGCGAACGTGAACACTTTTATCTCCTCCGCTACCACCTCCATCTTTTGGAACTGGGGGGTTGAGAAGAACACGATCACGATTGGAAGTCGCCGTAGTGGTCACAGATGGCTGCCAGTACCAATGAACTCGGAATATTTGATAACTTTCTACCACCCATGGCAGCTCAACTGTGGAGCCCTATAAAGGAGAAAAAAGAAGTTAGGTGAAATGTGTCATGCCAGTCTAAGTGAACCAGTGGCATAGGGAGATACGAATACGTGGATAAATGATTCGATAAATTTCTACTGACTGACATAACTAATTGCTGTATTTAAGATCTAGATACCAGCAATACTAAGCATCTAGACATCAATAAGTAAGCGGCAACTTAAACACCACCACCATCTGCGACATACTTATTTTGGAAAGGTTGTGATATAGCTTCGGCCCTTTGGAAGAACCTTCGTTTAGTAAAGAGGATTTCGAAGCATGATTTGGTCGAACTATTATCTTCGCAATTAGTGCTACTTTAGCTTTTATTTTTCCCAGAGCAAGACGCAGACCCTACACCTTTGTATCACATCAATCAGAATCCTAACATTGACATAGAGGTTAAAATTGCCTAGAAAATTGCGATTTTCCCGAAATAACGGGTTGGGGGCTACTTTGGTCCAAAATTCATCACAACTCTAAATAACAAATGGCTTTAAGCTTGTAAAGATGGGAAAATCTCATTACAAACTTGATACAGCTTGATTAAAATCGAACAAAACACCTAAGCATTTTATAATGAAATGGATAGCTGAGTAATATGCAATCCAAACTAACACTATAAGATCACCTAAAGTACCTGTTTTGCTACCCCTGTATTGTACACATATCGAATCTTACCTCTACACATGCTAACTGTCAGTCAATGATCGCCAAAGCTGAGAAAAAAACAAAATCAATCAATTTTCTCAGTTACCCTTGATTAGCACTAGAGCTTTCCCATGCTCTTTCACAATTATAAGCTCCCCTTTCTACTCCTTCCGACATTCAACTATGTTTATTAATGTTAACGGTCTTCCAATTCAAGGGAAATATGTTTTATCCTGCTAGACTTTTTGACAGAATAGCTAAAAGTCCTCTATTACTGAGTTCATATAAGTAGCATTACTGACTTGATCACTGGTCCCTTATACCGAGCTATGTAAAAATATACTTTTCAAACAAAGACGAAAAAATCTTGTTGAGAAGGGATAGGAATTAGCTGCACTCTCAGAATCAAAGTCTCAGGTAACTACGCTTCTTCTACCCCCCTCTACAAACCTATACCAACCATTTTTTTAACGTAGACGAATTGAAACTTTTATTTGAGGGTGACTGAATAAGACTTTCACGCAAATAAAAAGGATCGTTTTAAAAAATCCAAGTTAAGTCAAGGGCTCTATACTAAGTTCAAATGCTAATACGGTCGGTCATCTAACTCAATTAGTGCCCACTAATAGGTATGAGACTCGCAACCACTAAATTCGTCAACCACTACGCCACCAGCGTACAAGAAAGCAAATATTGAAATTGCTCGCTCCACATTGCAAGTTATAGTTTATAACAAGCTATTTTGTAACTGTAAAAAAGAAATGTCGTTACGTTTAGAAACATTGAGAAATCCTTATTTCCTTGCTTCCAATCAAATCAGAATAAAATATACGTGTGAATCATATTCTCCATTCATTAATACTGGCATTCACGGGGTGTGCGATTGACTTACCTCCACGTGGTGCACCCTGGGCAACGTATATTCATACGGCAAAAAAGTCTATTAACTGGCGATTGACTTCAAACTATCGGCAAAAAAATTCTATTAACCGGCAGTTGACTTCTGACTTCAACGCAAAAAGGTCTATTAACTGGCAGTTGACTTCTCACTTCACAAAAAAGTCTATTAACCGGCAGTTGACTTCTGACTACTCAAACGGCAAAAAAGTCTATAAACCGGCAGTTGACTTCTGACTGAAAAGGTCTATTAACTGGCAGTTGACTTCTGACTTCAAATAAAAGTCTATCAATCGGCAGTTGACTTCTCACTTCAAACTAAAGTCTATTACCTGGCAGTTGACTTCAAACTACCATGAGTAAGTCTATTAACTGGCAGTTGACTTCTGAGTTCAAACTATCATGACCCCAAGTCTATTAATCGGCAGTTGACTTCTGACTTCAATTACCATGATCTATTAACTGGCAGTTGACTTCTCTATGTCATATTCGAAGTCTATAAACCGGCAGTTGACTTCAAACTATCGGCAAAAAAATTCTATTAACCGGCAGTTGACTTCTGACTTCAACGGCAAAGTCTATTAACTGGTAGTTGACTTCTCCGCATACGGCAAAAAAGTCTATTAACCGGCAGTTTTCTTCTCACTTCAAACTACCATGACCCCCCTATATGTCCTACATTCTCATACGGCAAAAAAGTCTATTAACCGGCATTTGACATGACTTCAAACTACAATCACCCCACTGTATGTCAAATTCGACTACTTGACTTCAAACTACCATCATCCCACTCTATGCCATATTCGTAAATTCGACCACTTCAACAGTACTCATCTTACCTTTTCTCTTCGACTTCTCACTTCAAACTACCATCACCCCACTGTATGTCAAATTCGACCCCTTCCACAGTACTCACCTCACCTTTGCTCTACTGTCGACTTCTTCCACAGTACTAACCTCACCTTTTTTCTACCTATTTCTCACTTCAAACTACCATCACCCCACTGTATGTCATATACCTCTGACTTCAAACTACCATCACCCCACTGTATGTCATATTTCACCACTTCCACAGTACTCACCTCGCCTTTTTTCTACCTTCAGTTGACTCTGACCCCACTGTATGTCATATTCGACTAAGGCAGTTGACTTCTCACTTCAAACTACCACCACCTCATGCACTATGGGCAACGTATACTCATATGGCAAAAAAGTCTATTAACCTGCAGTTGACTTCTGACTTCAAACTACCACGACCCCCAAACTTGTCATATTCGACCCCTTACACAGTACTCACCTTACCTTGTCATATTCGACTACTTTCACAGTACTCACCTCACCTTCTGTTACACTCTGCCTTTGTGTCTCTCTCTTTTACATCTATGAAACACTCTTCTGTTCCCCCCCCTGCCTTTGTGCCTGTCTCTTTTACATCTTTGAATCACTCACCTTATCTACCTTCGTCTTTGAAACCCTCTTCTGCCCCCTCCCTTAGTGTTTGTCTCTTACATCTTTAAAACACTCTTCTGTCCCCCCCCCCTGTCGACTTTTTCCATTTGATGTTTCTTCCCATCTGTGAAGCCTGAAGTCAACTAAAGTGCTAATGATAACCATCAAGACGCCTGCCATTTGATATAAATAAATACTGGCATTCACTATGGTTTTTGTTAAAAAAAAAACAGAAAAAAACTATATGAAAACAGGTCTCAACTCCCTCTAGAATTTTTTCTTAAATCTTTCGTTTCCTCTATCGCTCTAACAAATTTAATGACTCCCAAGTCTAATGGAATGGCGTTTTGACAATCCGTTTGTGTAGAGGTAACATTACGGATTCAATTTAGTGAAGAACTTGAATTCTCTCATTCTCTTTATTAGAAAGACTTTGTCAATGTACTTAGTCATTCCGCTCATTGAGTGTACACCGAGAATGAATCGACTACTGGTTTTACACACGTGAACTAATCGAACGCGATATCGAAGTCTCATTAAAAATACAATTCTGATACGAACTTATGGTCGTATTAACAGTCTACACACTAATACACTGTTTCAATTACCAAATTTAATATGAGATAATTAAATAAACCATTGTATTGCCTGCTTGGAAGTCTTAAAGCTAAAAAGAACACTTACGGTAAGCAAGTAAATTTTATTAAAAAAGCCATACAAATTTTTTAGCCTCCCATCCCTGATATCTCAAGGCCACATACTGTGAAATATCATACAACACCATATTTCATTCTCCACAATTAGAAAGAAGGAAACGAAGCGACAAGGCACACCTTTCTTTGTTAAATAATATCAATGAATAAGCATCGATTGTCGAAAACGGGTATTTGTTTCAATCTAAGGGACAAGTTATGAAATTACAACTCTGGAACACGAACTACCTCTACTTTAAGTAACTATTGAGCAACCTGAGTCAAAAAATTAAATGAATTTGGACTCTTCGGTGCCTTGACGTTGTTCGATGTACCTCTTTGACCCCCCCC